ACTATACTATTATCGTAGTTTCTTAACTTTACTTTAATCACTTACATTCTTATTACTTTACTTTAATCACTTTAGGTTAGCACTTAGATTATTTACTTTATGCTATCACTTAGGTTATTCACTTTACTTTATCATTTTAGGTATATCACTTTAGTTATAAGCTTCCTTTTTTTCATTTTTTATGATTACCACTTAGGTTAGGTTATTCTTTTAATTTCATTCATTGTTTAGGGTATATAGCTTTGCTTATTTACTATTTTAAGGTTTAGCACTTACGTTTTATTACTCTATTATGTTTATATAATCTACATTTTTATTTTATTTTCTTATGGATATTACGACTACTAAAACTGTTTGTACTGTTCTACAGTATGTAAAACAAAACAGTACTTTATATCGCCCATATTAGGGCCAAGCATGGGAAAGAACCCATGCATTTCGATCGAACATTTCAGTGCATTTTATTGCAGTAAGGCTTTGCATTCGACATATGCTTTGAAAAAGACATATTATACATTTCATCCTACCATTCCTCTTCAACCATCTGCTCCCAATTCTGTTCTAGCCACTGACACTATTCATCAAAATTCTTCCTCACATATTCAAACAGTTCATTCCGATCATATCACCTACAACACCTACTTCAATAATTTCCGCATCAACCCTAGAACATCAGTCGCCTTCATTCCTATGCTGCCTCAATTTCACCTACACATCAACTTCTACCACCAATCCATCAACTCCATTGCCACACAATCCACTTCTTGCACCAGTGTTCAACAGCAGATAAAATATATTTCAGGATGTGTACCAACATGTTATTAAACAATGATGCAGCAAACAGTAATAATGTTAGTTTTTAATAGGTTACTCAAAGGAAATCTAGGATCTTGTGCCCCCTTGACAATTGTCAAAGGTTATTTCCAGATACAATGGCTTACATCAAATATCGAAGTTGATCACACCATCCACATCCAGCATGAAGAAATCAAATTTTCTTCTTTTAATGGTTTGTTCATTTTCGATTATAGACTTTGTCAATGCACTTTTATTTATTTGGTATTTTTATATAGATTTTCAATCATGGAAAAATAAAATTGTCATGGAAAAATAAAATGTTCATATATTCATATTCACAAATTCTTCAAATTCAAAATTATAATCATTATTTTTTTACAATGAGAAAATGAACATTCATATATTGGCATTAACTATATTCAAAAGCAGTAAATTTAAACATAAAATATATAAACATGTTTTTTGCTAATATTAAATGTATAACTCTGTGACTAATTATAACTATATTATGATTTATTGGAGTTGGATTTGACCTGTAATGTTATATAATTTATGTTGCTTTACTTTTTAACCAACTTGAGTGGTGTGTTTGTGTAATAACTCACTATTGTTGAAATGAGCATTTTGTTGTATCTAATGATGCAAACAAAGTTCTTCTCTCTCAATTTATGGTATTTGGTTCCATTTGTTTATATTATCATTTCAATTCTATCTTTCAAATTTCTAATGCGAATAATACATTTATTAACAGCTATTATTGCGGAGATAAGTTTTAAATTATAATCTACATATTTCTTTTATATTATGGTAATAGGTTTTGAATTGTCAATATGATTTATTTATCGTTACTTTACGGTATAATAGGTTTTAAATTGTAAATATGATATTAATTGTTACATTCGGTGATACGTTTTGATTTTTTTATTTATTATTACATTATGGTAATAGGGTTTTTAATTGTAAATATGACTTATTTATTATTACATTTTATAGTGATGAATATTTGATTTATTTATTATAACATCACTATAATAATAGTTTTGAATCATGAAGAATTGTGTTTGACGGTATGTGGTTGTGGGTTGTTTATACTGGTATGTGGTACAATTTGTTTTCTAATTTTCTTTCACGCCATGCTTTACTCATTAATATTACATGTGTAAATAGATTTAACTCGTAAACTATTTATTGTAAATAACTATAATATTTAATTCACATTCAATAAAAATATTACCACAATTATCTTTTTTTTAAAAAAAATAGCTTGTTTCAGTAGCAAAAATTATGTGATCTAAAAGTTTTCAGTTATTCAATGTTGCATCCTACAGTTTAAACTACTGTTAAAAACTGGAACAGTCCTGGATTTGAATAATGCACTTATTCTGATAATAAAGATTGTGTTCTAAAATTCAATCATTTGTAGTCAAAATATTTAAAGTTTTCAACAATTATATTGCACACTAGTATGGAACAGATATAAGAAATGGTTAAAAAAATTTAATTTTGATATTGTATCATTACACGTAGTCTTGCTATAATAAATACGAAAGATTGTTAATGTAGCAGTATTTGGCTTACATAATTATACATTTTTGTGATCAAGCAAATTTATGCACACAAAATAGTTCACGTTTACCAGTGTTCTTCAATTGAAATCTACCATACATAACAAAAATCCAATATTGCAACAAATTTCTGACTGAATGAAAAATATATATACTAATCACCAAAATAAGAAATTGAGGTTAAGTTTCGACAGTTGCGACAAATTTTTGACATATATGAATGCTCTGCAGTTGGTATGCCTGCTCAGAAGAATTTCTGATTTTTGAATGTGGTACCGTGATTTTTTCGTTTCAGCACTTTGTTAATCCGGTGTTTAGAGCCGTGTAAAGAGATGACGATGTTGACGCCTGTTTCTCAAACTGCGATGATTTAAATTTAAGTCGCAATAGATTTAAAATAGATTCTGAAAATACTGTTAGCGATAAAATATGCATAATTTTTATAATTTGGTAATACGACATTGAATAGATAAAGCCTAGACAATATAATAATAATAATGATATAATGATAATGAGATAAAGAACGTAATTAAAATAACAAGAGGGACAAGAACAACACATTATAGACAGATATTTTGTTGCAAATTATAAGTGTATAGAGATTATTAATAATATTAAGAAACTAAACAAGCTTAAAAAACATTTTCTTAATGAAAATATTCAATATATACATTTACTTCAAATTCGAATTTGATCGTTGTTTTATTTATGAGACAAGCTAAGCTATCAATATGAAAAACTGTCAGTCAATAATATAAATGTATTAATGTTAACTATTTTATAGATTAATAAATTGCCTTTTATTTGCCAGCAAGAATTTTATTTATCTGGACAAGCATTTTGCATCTCAAAATGCTCAATTTAGTTAACAAATAATCCGCTAAAGCGCTAGTGATGACAAAAATACAATTCCCAACAATATGCAAGTGTCTCATCTACAAATGTCAATTGTGTATTGTTCTTTGATGTTGTTATCAAAGTTTGGCCTTTGTCTTTCAAAATATTAATTTTCCAAAAACATATACCAAACGTATTTGCACAAAATTTATTGTACGTTTTAGAATAGTATATAAAATTCATGTGTCCATAAAATATTATAAATAAGTAAATTTCCAAGTTTTCACACAAATTATTGAGTAAGCCGAAGCCTCTTTAATGCGCCATTGCGTTTTAATTATAGTGTTTTAAACAGCAAAATCTTGATTCTACATCATTAAAATGAGCTTCAACGATAAACAGTCGAATTCATTCCCAAAAGATGAATGTGCAAATCGATTAGAAGGATTGCATGTACAGAGATCTGACATGAATAAATTGATAATGAATTATCTTGTCACAGAAGGCTTTAAAGAGGCCGCTGAAAAGTTCCAAATAGAGGCCGGTGTAGGTACTTCGATGGAGTTAAATTCTTTAGACGATAGAATATTAATAAGGGATGCAATACAGTCTGGACGTATTCAAGAAGCTACAGTATTAGTAAATCAGCTTCATCCCGAGTTGTTGGATAACGACAGGTATCTTTATTTCCATTTGCAACAACTACATTTGATTGAACTTATAAGAGCAGGCAATGTGGAAGAAGCACTCAGTTTTGCCCAAAGTCAATTATCAGAAGCAGGCGAGAGCAATCCACAAGTTCTGAATGAATTAGAACGTACTTTAGCTCTATTGGCCTTTGAGCAACCTCATTTAAGCCCATATGGTGATCTTTTACAACCTATGCATAGACAGAAAGTTGCTAGTGAATTGAATGCTGCAATTTTAAAGATGGAACATCAAGAATTCACAAGTCCAAAGCTATCAAATTTGCTAAAAATGATACTTTGGGCACAGAATGAACTTGATAAGAAAAAAATCTCTTACCCTAAGATGACTGATCTTGCTAAAGCAAAGATAGAAAAAATCTAATGGTTTTTGCTTTAAACTTCTTTGAAACAACTAAAATATTTGGGTTTTAACTCATATAGAAAAAAACTAAGTATTTTGAAATCTATATGCTAATTGAAAATCTTAGCATGAAGAAATAAAACACACATTTATACATATGAGAATAATAAATTATTATGGAAAATGGTACAGAAGAAAAATCATATAAATGACTAAGAAGACATTATATATTTATTGACAAATTATATTTAATAATTTACTTTGTTCAGTTTTATTCACTGAAAATGTTAATTGGTCTGAAATTGCAATATGTTTAAATGGTTTTTAATATATATCAAAATCAAAATATGTGTTTTATTTCATTGTTGACAATGTAAATTTTGAATATTTTACCTTTTAGTATATTTTTTGTATGTAGGACTTGAAAACATTACATTCTTTTAGTTAAAGGCCAAATCAACACATTTTTTTATTCTCCTACAACTCACATATTAATTATTTAGAAAAATAATAGTAAAGTAATAAAGTGTAAATAATATGAGGAACATATATTCATAAAAATGAATAAATAAGTGTAAAAGTATCCCAATTTTTGGAAATTCAATTTTAAAAGAATAAATAATATATTTTTAAGAGCATAACTTCAATATATTTCTCTACAATTATAGAAGTGTATGTTTATATAAATTCAAAACATAAACTAATAATTTTAATGAATAACTCAAAAGTAACAAAATACTGGATTCTGGGTTTTACTATACTACCTTATATATTAATATATCTTGATATACATAAAAAATTCGAGAGATATGTTTTTAATAAAATAATGTATAAAATTACATACTGCACATAAAATGTAATGAATACCTTAGACACAAACGTATTGCATTTGATTTTTACCTGATTAAAGCAATGAGACATCTTTTGTAATCACCTGAGCAATCATCCTAAAAAAATAAATATTAGTCATTATTAAAATATATATATATATATATATATATATATATATATTTATTTATATATGCTCAATAATAGATGAAATACTTTGATGAAGTCTTCAAGAGTATCTCCATATTCAGAAACAAAAGCTTGTTTGATGTCTCCCATATCGACTTCACACCTAGTAACCACAATTCGAATCAACTGACTGTCATTAGTTCCAAGACCTTTCATACTTTTGTACAGACGTTTAGCAAAAAATTTTGCTTTGTTATTTACTGATTCCACTGTTGAATTTTCATTGAATATAATAATTATAATATTTTTTTCAAGAGCATTTAAATTTCTTATTAAAGATTTTTTAAATAATTACTAGTGTTAGTAAAATAATTAATTGAAATCTTTTGGAGAAAGAATCTTATAATTAAATATATATACCTATAGCCAATAAACCATCTTTAATATCTCCAGAGAATTCTGATTTAATAGCATGTTCAATGCTATGTCCAACAATCTTTTCATAACAATCAAAAACAGCACGAAGTTGTGGATAACTTCTCTGGCACAAGATCATATTGAAAGTTGATTCGTCAGTACCAAAATATTTTAGTTCTCCTAAAATATTAAAATATATTTTATTTTATGGTGCACCATTGCTCCAAAAAAAAAGATTTAAGATATATTAATATGCAAATATTATATATTAAAGATATAATAATAGCAAATAATATATATTGAAGATATAATAATAGCAAATATTAATATGCTGATAATGAAATAGGTTCACCTGCTTGCAACAGCTGTTGTGCATCAACCATTGCAGCGTCTTCATCAACTTCAATACTCTCATCTCGATTTGCCTACAATTAAAAATTATACAATCCGATATATATATATATATATATATATATATATATATATATATAAATATATATAAATAAATTCCAAACATTCACTAAGGTAATACATCAATTTATCCACTTACATTACATAATGATACCATAAGTCTTCTAAAATTTCCTGATGTCTCTCCAATCAATTCATCTTCCAAAGATTTCCCATACGCTATGGAATTAGACTGATTAATTTTTATCAAGATTTTATTTTACCTAAAAAATGAAAAAACTTACTTGATTCATAAGCATTTCTAACTGTTTGAAGTTCTAAGTTTGTCATTGTACAGAATACTTCGATTAAAGTTTCCTCATCAGTTCCTAGGCCTAAAATAAATTTGTATATTTTAAATTTAATGCCTTACCATGAATATTTGAAATAATTTTAACAAACCTTTCATGGCTTTCTCTAATTGCTTAGCAATATAAACTGGTAACGGTGTCATCAGAGCTACAACTAATTTTTCAAAATTACCAGTCAACTCACTTTTCAAATTGTTTATCAGATCCTATTAATAAAAAAACTAACATTAGCAATATGGTAAAATCAAAATGTAAATTAAAACATACTTTTCCATATAATGTTTTGAATTCCAGCTCAATTTGTTGTCGTTGTTCATTTGATCTATTAGTTAGAACTCCTATGATAGCCTTTTCATCAGTACCAAATCCTTCAATGTAATAAAAATTTAACTAATATTAAACTAAATTAAATTTATCTCAGTATTACCTTTCATGGCTTTTCTTAATACTTCAGCATCAGCCCTTGGATCGAAATCCTCTGCTGGGAAAACAGTGGGCGAAGGCTGTAATAATATATTATAAAATGAGAAATGATTAAAAGAAAAAAAAAGTGGATTTTTATGCGTTGTACAAGTAAATTTAAGTATAAATAAATATTATATATTAATAATTATACTTATTATACACATTATTATAATTATTAAAATTAGAGTAATACTTACAGGATAATAGAAACTCATTATGGTAGTCGTTAGTGTACAACCTTGTATTCTGAAACACACATATATTCATTAAAAGGTAATTCAAAGTAATTATTTTTGGCAGAAACACAAACAATATAATAATCAATATGGTAATATATATTTACAGCATATTTAAAATTGAATAATTAAATAAACATGTGAATTTATTCATAAAAAAAGTATAGCACCTCAACAATATCAATAACCGCCCAATAAAGATAATCTCAAGGATAGATAATTTTCTCTGATGGCTTATATACTTTTTATTTAATCATTTTAATAATCTTTAATTATTACGTAAAAATTTCAATATTTAAAGTAATGATAAATAATTTGTAATTTTTAATTTTGATCAGATAGAAATATATATGATTATTGGATTAGATAATTAAAAAGTGCGATTAAAATATGTGTATTTGTTACCAAATTGATTTTTAACTTAGTAATCGCAAAAAAATCGAAAATGAAAATTTTTATATATTGTTTTATATATCTATTTATATAACTATCTATCTATAGTCTATGTTATATATCTTTACGTTTCAAAAGTTTCTGAACATTTTGGCATATCATAGAAAAAATGGATGTTTGGTGTGTATGTGTATGTGTGTGCGGATACAAATTTTCGTCGACGATTTCGGATAATTCAAAAAACATTCGATTCGTATTAATAAGGAGACGTGCTGATTGGTTTTTGGCAAAGACAGGTCCACCCGTTACGGATATACGGGGCAAAAATTGTCAAAAAGGGTAACTTAGATTTTAAGAGAACGAAGCGTCCGATTTTAATAATTCAAAAAACCTTTTACTTGTATTGACGAACTGATTAAATTTTTGGGATGGCAGGCCCAGCGGTTATGGACTCTCAATATATAATATATAGAACTATCGATTTTACAGTACAACCGACAGACTTCAACATGCAACTAATTACTTATTTACAAAAGTAAATATTTCATGTCCTAGAAATGAAACAAATCAATATTAATACTGATGGCAATAAATAGATAAAACTATTCGAACAGGTTTAAAAAAACTTTACAAGCAACTGTTTATAAAAATATGCGTAGTTTTCTTCATAGTCAATCGGTATATTTCATTATCCTGTGGTGAAGCTCAAGAATAATCACTTAACAAGATATCCTCATATTTAAATAGAAAATTAAGATGAAAAAATGTTTGTCTTTAACCAGATTTGATAAAATAATCATGTTTATCCCAGAGATCAAATGAAAAACCGAAGTATTTACTTTGCTTCATGTTTAACACCTTAATAAGTTGTTTATGGAATGTAAAACTTTCCATTGCTGATAACAATTGTTATTTAAAGAATTAATTCTCCAAACAGAGGTTTGCTAAATAGAGTTGTTTGCATAGCCTGTTTGATGGTAATGATGGTATCTGGTTTTCTGAAGCAATAGGCAATTTAATATTTTGGATTTTGGATAAATACATATTTATCAAGCATTGATATAAAATTTTATCGACAGATCTTAAATAATGCAAGAAAGTTGTTCATAAATATTGTATATATCTTAATATATAATTATATATATATATTATCAAAGCTTGGCGATCAGGGGCTTATGGCGAGTATGTTCCTTTTCCTATAATGCCATTTATCTGATTAGGTAATATATTTTTTACTCTTATAATAAATGTTTATAGCTGTTTTATTTCGTTCAATTATTTTAGTACTATTATTAAATAAAATCAAATATCAAACCCGTAGGATAAGTTATAGTAATGGATCAATAATCGAAATTTTTTGCATTTTTTAAATCGACGTTTTAGAGGTTTCTGAACACAAAAATGGATGTGTGTGTGAAATTTTCGTCGACATTTTCGGGAGTACCGCTCAACCGCTTTGAATGATTCAAAAAATATTCTATTCCTATTGATAGGGAGATGTGCTGATTAGTTTCTGGCAAAGGCAGGTCCAGCCGTTTCGGAAATACGGAGCAAAGAGTGCAGGAAATAGAAATCTTGTTTTTGAGAGAACGGAGTATCCGATTTGAATGATCCAAAAATCATTATGCTTGTGTTGGCAAAACAATTGTTTTTGGAAAAAAAAACTTTTTTTTTATTTTTTTTGTATATCAAAAATATTTCAGAGTATAAATTTTGGCAGGCAGCAAACCCAAATAAATCCAACGTCAATAAAAAAAAAATCATATTGCTCCCTACAATGAGTATTCAAACCCCAAATAGGGCATGCAACATAATAAATACATACTGTGTAAATTATTCTCCCGGCTACACCCATGAATGAATATACTTGGAACAACTTATACAATTATATTTTGTTTTTTGGAAAACATTTTTATAGGCAAATTCATGAAAGAAGATGTGTAAGTAATTATATCACTCATTAAACGAGTGATTCATAGAAGCAATATATAGAAATGGAAATTAGGTCTTTCTGGTATAAATATACAATAATTGTAACAAACTTACCAGTCAAGAGAACTTTAACAGAGAACTTATTTATCTTTTTATTTTTTTACACGATCGACAATATTCCGATTTGTACACCGATCACAAAATCACTTTACCGAGAAAAAATCTAAAAATATACACTTGTTGCATCTAACACTCATTTAGCAAAAAATACAAATGATACGTCAAACAGCAAACATGAATCAGATACCACGTGACCTGGTCACGTGGGAGATCTCTGTCAATTTACAATATGAGAGATCTATGCGATCTATATCAATGAGAGATCTTTGTTAAGATACCAATTAAATATGGAATAAAAGCTATCAATGATTAGTTAATATAAAATGATCAATATCAAGGATCAGAATCTACTATCTGAAGAAAAACTTTCACATTTTATTTATAAAATGCTTTGTTTCAGATTATACACATCATTATATATAGATTATTATTTTAGTGTTGGCACATGTGCATAATTCTGTGGAGCAAACCTCGCGATTTAAATATAATATACATTATTAAAAATTTAATATTATAATTATTAATATAACTCAATAATAAAAGGATGCTGTACAAACTGCATGCATATTGAATATAAATTAAGGAATTATATTTAAAAGCTATAAAATAAGAATAAGTTATCAGGAAAAAAGTATCGAGATTTATGATAAATATTGGGAAGCATATGTTGCAAATTGAGTTTGTTAATTTTCAACAGTTACAAACTGCAACCAGTAAAAACAATAATCCAACAGCTTTAATACTTTTATTTTATATATTAAATTCATAATGTAAAAAATTGCCTAAAACACAACAACATTATTCAAATTTCTTTTTGAGTCTCTGACGAAACAGAACAGGCACTAAAGACCCCACTGCTAGTCCTCCTAGCACCAAAACCGAATTCAATGATAATGTACTTGTAGATGTGAGATTATTGAGAGTTTTACCAGCTTGTATAGCCAAAATGGACGGAGGCATAACACCTAAAATTAATAATATTGTTATTCCTGTTCCAAGTCTAATTTCTTTATATATAATACTCATTTACCGAATAAAGTACCAAATGCAAAAGGAAACAATGGTACTCCAACTACAGGGGCCACTAAATTTATAAACCAATTTGGCAGCAAAGGAGTTATTCGTAAGAACAACATATAATTGAATAAATCATTTTTATTACGATTGACTGTTTTTGCCCACTCAGCTGCTCGTTCAGGGAAATAATGTTTTATAATTTTTCTTCCTAGTAATTGTGATAGCATATAACACAATGATGCGCCCAATGTTGAACAGACACATATCAAAGTTATTGCTGTGATAAATGGGAACAGAAAGCCTGACAGAATAGATAAAAATAATGAACCCGGTATTGCAAATGTTTGCAAACTAATAAATACATAAGGAATAATATAATTTTAATTATATTACAATATATAATTATTTGAGTAAGGATACAATACGTAAACCACACAGATTCCAGATAAAACTTCAAAAAAATATCTATCTTTGTATCGCTCCAATACAACACCTAATTGTTTTGCCTCTTCTATATCCCATGGTAATTTTATGAACTTTTTTTCATAACTAAAATTGGTATAAATCATTCATAAAGTTGAATAAACAGTTAATAAGAATACATTGAGCATTTACAATGATTCTGAAGACAAAAATAAGCATACTTTTATTAAATTTTTTACTTTAAAATGATTATTTAGATACTCAAAAAAATTTGAACTTAATAGTTCAAAATATTATTCAAAGAATTACAAAAACAACATTTTGATTAGTTCATAATAAAATAATTTATCAATGCAGATTTATCATATATATAATATCTGTATAATGAATATAAATGTGAATCTTTGAGCAGCAACTAAATTATTTTAATGAAATCCAAAGGAACACGCAACTACAGTTGTAATCCTTTTAATATCAATGAACAGAAAATTGACTTTTAATACAGACACTTATTTTTGTAATATCAAAATCATAGCAACTCCTCAGAATTGATCTTACTCTTCTAAAGGTGGAAAATTCATATAAATTAATGAAACTGCTACTAGTGAAGTAATGAATATAATTAACACAGCTATTGTTGCTTGGGTTGTATTCAAGCCATTGTCTTCTTCATCTGTAATATTTCAAAAATGAAGATAGAATAATAACATTTTATAATGAAAGTAAAAAAAAAGTAAAATCAGGAAAGCTTTAAAGGAACATACACTTAGGATTTGATCGGGATGTAGGATCTCTAGGATTTGCATAATGTCGTTGATTTACATGAGTTACTTGAGTTAGGAAATTTCGTTCGTGGGAGATTTTTAAATTTGACAGATTTCTTTCGAACGTAGAAGAAATTTCTTCACACATAATTGGTTTGTCACCTTCTCTTCGTCTTTGTTGTTTCATTTTTTTAACTTATTTAATAATTTAACTAATTAAAAATTGTTAAAAGTTTTTTTTACATCTGCGTAAAGTATATTATTCAAATGTGCTAATCATTGCAAAATTATTTAACTAATTTAAACAAAACTTGACGTGTTGTGACATAAGACACCATAGATATAAAATTGTACTAAGTATAATGACCAACCCTTATGAAAACAATTTTCGAATTTATTGACGAACGATGAACGCTCCTCTATTGACAAAATGGCGAACGAAAGTTATTTAATGCACTTTTGTAAATAACTCAAGTTTTTGCAATAAGTATTTATTTATTAATTCATTGGCCTTTACATAAGTATATGAAAGTGATAAAATAAGTAAATTTTGTTTATTCAATGTAAGTTACACTACAATTTGCAAGCAGCTTGTCTATATGCTAAAATCAAATGTTTATATTGTATTGTAATTACTTAAAATTGTAACTTTGTAAATTCTTATTTTGTTAATTGTAAACGAATGTTTCTGATTGTTAATAAATATTCTTGTCTTGTTAAGCAATAACCATCAATGAAGATTAGATCTAATCCTAAACTCGAGTTTACTCACCATTTACAAAGATTTTGAAATTTTAAATTTTAAAGTTGAAGTTTTTTTTTAAGGACAAATTTTGCTATGTATATCCAAATCTTTATCGAAATGATTTTATTTCTTTTTATAAAATTAACTTGGTAATTATCGGCAGCACTGATTTCGAAAATATAAAATTCATTTTATGAAACTCGGTAAGGACTTGTCGATTTCATTGATCAAGATTGATGCATTTCAAGATTGCATTGATTAGTTCTTATTATAGATATAGATAGATATAAGCATAATTCTCATTATTATTATTGAAATAGTTATGGTTTTTATTTATAGTGAAAGCAAAAGTATAATTTTAAAAATAAATACGTGGTTAAAAATTCAAACAGAATTATTTACGTATATGTATTCAGCAATGTAGCTGCTCACTAATCAATACTACCAACAGAGAACGCGAAACTGAAGAGATCCTTTTCAGTTTGAAGTATGATATCTTGCCCAGGTATGAAGCTATTCTGAAATAAATTTGTTTATTGACCGATTTCTGTCACGTCCGTCTCGTAATTTTTCATATTTTTAAGATCTCATTTTCACAATATGAAGATTTTAATAAAAGTACTAAAAGGAAGTGACTGTTGGTTAGAGGTACGTATCTAAATCCTTGTTGAAGTAAAAATAATGAAATGCAATAGTTTCATTTAGACAGGTGTTATACAAATAAAAAATATTCTAATTCAATCCTGAGTTATATATTATAGAAATATTTTTTAGCATTCTATTATCACTCTATTTAATATTTATTTTTATTGCAGGTTAACAAAGACACAACAATAAAACAAATAAAAAATGAAGCAATGTCTCGTTTAAACATATCTGGACCTCAACAGACATTGCTTTTAGCAGGGAGGCCCCTTATAGATGAAAACTCTGTCGAATTTTATGATAGCATAAAAGAAGGAACAAAGTTATTACTAGTGATAAAAAAACAAGAAGTTCTAAATTTAAATGATGAATTAGTAAAATATTTCAAAAAATTCTACAGTGATGAAATGGCTCAACAATTTGCTAAAAGTTTTATGATTGAATTTAAAAGAAAAACTGCTTTATTAAGTTTAGATGATATAGAAAGATTAGCTACCTCAGATGCACTGTAAAATGAAATAATTTGTGTCTGTTATTACGTTATTTTAAATTTTAACAATTGTGTAGGTATGACTTCCATTATTTATATTTCTATAATAAAATAATATTAAATCAATGATTTAAGTATTTCAATTTTTAATGTTCATGTTTCTCTCTGTGCGGAACAACTAAATCCAGTTAAAATTTTAAGGAGTTGCATATAATAGTTGATCATTTTTCTAGAGCATATTATATTGACTACATATAATAGTTTCTTTTCTGTACATTCAATATAAAAACTAAGTTTTTTTAGATGTTTAATTATGTTTTCATTTTTCTGTATCATATTTTTCAACTATTATATTACTGAATACTTTGATAAAAGGTTTATGCTAATAACAGCCTCTAACAAAATTGAATTTTTTTTCCAAATGATTACATTATATTAGAAATTGAGATAATTTAAAAATATAATTAGAAATTTATTAATTGCTTGATTATAATCTTCATGGTAGTTCTAAATAACTGCTTCAACCATGTAGATGTAGCTATGAGAGACCATATATATTGATTTAACAAGTTTATTGGAGAGGGCTCAACTTATAATAACCTAGCCCACACCAACAAATTATTTATATATATTGCAATGTCAAACAATTACAATAAAAATGAGAGTACCTTTTACTGTGAATATAAACACTGTTTTTGCTTATCAATCAACAAATAATATTTCATCAGATAGAAAAGTTAAATCAGAAGATTTCTCGTGGGATAGTAACACTCCAGAGGCCTTGGCAAGTTTATGCATTAAAAGAATAGCATTAACTTGGGCAGGTAATTTTGTATGATATACATTAACTTTTTTTTAAATAAATAATAGACCATAATATATACGGGAAACAAATAACAATATTTGTATTAGTGCTTAAAATGAAAGTAATTCCATTGGATTAACTTAAATATTTATTATATTCTTGAGTAAATAGACTGTGTTAAAAAAGGTATAACATATTCACAAAAAGGTAAATACATTATAAATATACACATTATTCAATACTTTTTTGTAATACAGATCATTAAAACTTAATAAATGCTCAACATTTTAAATAAAAAATCTATGTACAATCTAAAATTAAACAAAAGATAAAACTTATATTGTATTGAATACTTTTTAACTTCCCGAAGGAGAAGTTTATGTTTTCATCAAAAAATCCGAATCGCTAATTTTATGTTTTCTCGACGTTTCGAGCCATTCTGAATCGAATGAGACCAAATTTGGAAAAAGTATGTGTGTGTGTGTGTGTGTGTATGTGTGTGTGTGTGTGTGTGAACAGATTTTTTGCCGTAAATCGACGTTTTCTCCAAAACGGTTGGACCGATTTCAAAAATTTAAAAGCCATTTGATGTATCTCGATGAGGACTATCGTCTCTGAGTTTTGTGCGGCGATCGGCCGGGCCGTTTTTTTGTAAATTGCAGAAAAGTGAAAAATTTTTCGTCCACGTTTTAGCCCGCAATTCTGAATCGATTCTGAAAATTCAAAAACCGTTCGATAGATATTGGTTGGGAATCGTGCTGATTAGTTTTTGGTAAAGATCGGCCGGGCCGTTTTCTTGTAATAAAGTTTTAAAAAAAAAAATTTTGACAATTTTTATGATTATTTTTTTGACGATAGATACCACAGTCTTCTAGGTCATACTAAAATATTACGGCCCTACGACAACTGGTTCAGCTTTAAAAATTCGTCAAAGTTTGCAAAAATCAGTATGGTCTTTTTGGCATTTGTCAAAATTAGACTTTTGATCGACGTTTTCTCAAAAACGCCTGAACCGATTTTAGAAATTTAAAAGCCATTTGATGTATTTCGGTGAGGACTATCGTTTGTCAGTTTTGTGCAACGATCTGCCAAGCCGTTTCTTCGTAATTTGAAAAAAAGTGTTAATCTTTTCGTCCACATTTAAGCTCATCCTACCGAACCGATTTTAAAAAATCAAAAAACTGTTCGAAAGATATTAGTTGGGAATGATGCTGATTAATTTTAGGTGAAAATCTACCGAGCCGTTTTCTTGTAATTAAATGTTGAAAAAAAGTGTTAAATTTTCGTCCACATTTAAGCTCATCCTACCGAACCGATTTTAAAAAATCAAAAACTGTTCGAAAGATATTAGTTGGGAATGATGCTGATTAATTTTAGGTGAAAATCTACCGAGCCGTTTTCTTGTAATTTACTGTTGAAAAAAAGTGTTAAATTTTCGTCCACATTTAAGCTCATCCTACCGAACCGATATTAAAAAATCAAAAACTGTTCGAAAGATATTAGTTGGGAATGATGCTGATTAATTTAGGTGAAAATCTACCGAGCCGTTTTCTTGTAATTAAATGTTGAAAAAAAGTGTTAAATTTTCGTCCACATTTAAGCTCATCCTACCGAACCGATTTTAAAAAATCAAAAACTGTTCGAAAGATATTAGTTGGGAATGATGCTGATTAATTTTAGGTGAAAATCTACCGAGCCGTTTTCTTGTAATTAAATGTTGAAAAAAAGTGTTAAATTTTCGTCCACATTTCAGCTCATCCTACCGAACCGATTTTAAAAAATCAAAAACTGTTCGAAAGATATTAGTTGGGAATGATGCTGATTAATTTTAGGTGAAAATCTACCGAGCCGTTTTCTTGTAATTAAATGTTGAAAAAAAGTGTTAAATTTTCGTCCACATTTCAGCTCATCCTACCGAACCGATTTTAAAAAATCAAAAACTGTTCGAAAGATATTAGTTGGGAATGATGCTGATTAATTTTAGGTGAAAATCTACCAAGCCGTTTTCTTGTAATGAACTGTTGAAAAAAAAATTGAAGCCGATTTTCATGGAACTTTTTTTGGCAATATACATCATGGTCTTATAGAACTTACTGTAATGCTACGGCCTTACAACAAGTAGTTTAATTTTAAAAATTCGTCAAACTTTGCTAGAATTATTATCGTTTTTTTTTAAAGTAGGATTGATGAAGTATATTATTTACACATTTTTTTGATCAAGTCGATTATTTACACATATCGGGAAGTTCATGTAATTTGCCTCAAGGCTAAATACCAAACCAACTAGTTTGAACTTTTCCTATATTAATGTGAATTTATTTAAAATACAGATTTAATTATTTATAAAAATTATATCATAGATGAATGAAATTGGCTACTTAACAGTGGCATGAAACTAAATCTTTCCTCACAATTTATCAACAAATGGCGATTAGCTAAATTCTAAATTATATTTGCATGCTATTATATATATATATATATATATATATATATATATATATATATATATATATATAATTGCATATCTATCATTATCCATGATTTGAGAAGAATGTTATCCTTATGGAATTATTAATTATTATTAACAATCATAGATTTTTTATATTGTCTGAACTCCTCTGCCACAGAATCATATTCTTTTGTCAGTTCATTCACCATTTTTTCAATTTCTTGCTTATCCACTTTTGGTTCTGCAGCAACAGTAAAACTTATCAAATAGCGGCAAAGTTTATCTTCATAATAAAGACAATCAAAATCTTCTGATTTTTTAAATTGAAAAGGTTTTATGGGAGATAGTGGAAAGACTTTCATGTCTCTGTATAAATTATTTATTCTATCCATTAATGATCCATTGTTGCATATATCATCATCATCTTCAACTTGTGTGAGCTCTACTTGAGATACATCTATCAGAGCTGCAGTTTGATCAATATCCATGTACATTGTTGACGATGCAATGTTTTCAACAGCTGTTACTGTTGGTGCTTCGGTAATATGTGGATATGGTTGAGCACTGTTTTTAAAAAATTGATGTGAAGGCATGTTGCTTGAATAATATAATGGTGTTTGAGTCGAGTTGTTTGAAAGCAAAGTACTTCTTTTGGCAATGATGCTGCTTTCATCTTTGTTTAACCCAGATGTTATATCGAATATAGAAGGTGTAACAGGGTTTGTTCTCTTTTCTATAACAGTTGATGATTCTAATTGTGGTTTCAATGTTTGTTGCAAATTATTTTGTAAAAGGGAAGAATTGGTTCTGTTAATCATAAAACTATTTTTATTTTGGCTTAATATAGATGCTGAATCAAGAGCATGAACTTCATTTGAACTTAACTGTTTTACTACATTTGAATCTAATTGTCCTGAAGAATTTTTATAACTTTGACCTGTAGCAACATTATTAGATTTTATCAATGAATTTTGTTCCAAAATATTTGGTGGAAATAACTGGTTTTTATTATGTATTGTACTGCTTTCATCTTTATTAAATCCAAGACTAAAATCAATAACAGAATGAAAATCTGTTGCCACTTTCCTAGATCTTGTTAGTGGTGTTTGTTTCAAATTATTTTCAAGAAGTTCATTATTTTTGCTCATCATGATACTGTTTTCAGTACTATTGAACACTGAAGTTGATTCTTTTTGTTCACATTTTAAATTTGATTGTGGTGTAAAAAAAGTTTTATAACATTGCACTAGAGATTCATTATTTGCTTTTAATAATGAGGTTTGATTTAAATTATCAAGCAGTTTGGAATTATCATTCATGATACGATTGTCGTCTTTGTTTAACCCAGATGTTAAGTCAAATACAGAAGGCACATTAGGTCGCAAGTTACATAGAGCCTCAGTCCTTTCAGATTCATTATTTATTTCAGAAGTGCATTCTAGTGCAGGAATTAAACTCTTACTAGAATTGCATATACTATATTTTGATAAAGCATTGTCATTGAAAATTGAATTATTATAATCTAAGGTCTTTCTCTCAACATTATTCTTTTGATCACCAAATATTATACTTGTACAATTTCTTTGAAGATGTTGATTATTGGTTTCAGCATTGTTTTGATTATCAATTGCATATTCAGAGATTTGTGTTATTTCTTCAGCTTCAGGTCTCACATCGTTAACCATTGTTTCAACTTGAACTGATGATGCTGAAACTTCAGATTTAATTTGTAATGCCGGAGATAAAATATTGTTTAAAAGATGATTCGTGGTCAAAACTGTTTGCTGTGTATGAACAGCTTCTGTATCATTAGAACATGCTTCAGGATTTTTCTCAAAGTTTGGATATTTCCATACGACTGCTTTACATTTCATCAAGGATGTCTTACTTACTGCATTATTAGAAAATTTATCAATAATAATATTATCATCATTTTTATTACTGAATGATGAGCTTTTCTCCATAACAGAAGGAACAATGGGTTGCATGTTACATAAAGCCTCAGTTCTTTCTGATTCATTATTTTTTTCAAAAATATTTCTCATTGTATTGCTTTCTGAGGAAATTAAGTCTTTATTAGAATAGCACTCATCATGTTGTCGTAATTCATTGGTCTTCAAAATTGATGTTTCTTGAAGAGTCATATCCATATCATTATCATGCTCTTCAAATACAATAGTTTTTCGTTTATTTGTTTCGACTCCAACACCTGGAGATGTATTATCACAAAGAGTCAGATTCATATCATTATCTTGTTCAGCAAAAACTATAGTTGTTCGTTTGTTTCTCACTGTATCAATTTGGGCAGCATCATTTGCAATGGTCATTTCCATTTCACCATCTTGATCATCAAACACTATAGTCATTCGTTTGTTTCTCACGGTATCAATTTGGGCAGCATCATTTGCAATGGTGATTTCCATTTTATCATCATGTTCACCAAACAAAATAGTAGCTCTTTTATTTTTTACTACCACATTAGCTTGTGGCTGAACAATATCATTTTCTTTATTATCAAAAATACTTTCTGCCACTTGTGTTAATTCTAAATCTGCTTCAGTACCATTGAATGTGATAGTTCTGCGCTTGCTTTTAATATTGGTATCAGCAACTTGGTACTCACTTATTTTCTTAAAATCATCATTACAAGTTTCATGGGATCTTTTCTCCTTTTTATGTGGAGGACTATCATGTTTGTCCGTTACATCATAATCAGAAATTTCATAAGATCCCTGATTATCACTTTGATCATGGAAAATTCTGAAAATTTCAATATATAAATTTTAATATTTATAATGAAATACAAAAGAAAATGAACAAAAAACAGATTCTTCTTCCAGAATGTGGAAATTGGGAACCTATTTAGTCAAGAAAGGACAAAAGACTAAATTCACACAACTGGAGTCAAGCCAAGTAATTAAATTTTTTATTATTTGTTAGGTGCTAATAAAATACTCACTTTATACTTCGTCTACATGAAAAATTTACACGCCGATTTTTGGATTCAGCTTCAGGCGCTATTGTTGACACAGTCAGTGTTTCTTTGGGCAATTTCAAAATCTATGAATAAAAGAAATATATCACATAATATGGAAAAAACTATTATACACAAACATAACGCTTATAAATAATTGCATACCGATGATCTTCTTGGCGTATTCATATTTATAATAGAAATAGTACATTAAAATTGTTATTCAGGAATTAAATACCTATATTCTAAACACTCTTTGCATAAAAAATATTTGAAAATTAATGATAATTTAACTAAACTTCTACAAATACTAACGACACTAACAAATAACGAAAATGTCAGTTAAAACTAAGGGTACTGGCGCATGTTAGATTATGACACAATCTGTCATATCGATGACATGGCTGTCAGATTGAACTAAGGTTGCTGGCGCATGTTAGTTTATGACAGAATTTGTCACTATTTGTCATGATATGGCACCATCGTTGACACAAAAAATAGCCTTTTGAAACAGTTATGATGAATTCATTTGAATTATTAATTTATAATATTATTAATTTGTTATTAATATTATTATTATTAACTATACTAATTTTAAACCAATCAGCCCGATTAGCGTTTGTTCAGCATTTTTTTCAATAACCAATTTTTTTGCTCTTTTCCGCTAATCCTACAGCCGGCAACATACTTTTCTGCATAATTGCGCAAGCTATGACTTGGTTTGCGCAAACACTTGAGTCGTCTGTGGGCACTGTGAAAATTTGACTGGTTGCGCTCTCATAGACATGCACAGGTATACAGTAACGTCTGTCGCCGGCTTAATGAAATGTCTAGGCCGATCGTCTTGCAAAACTAATCAACGCAAGTCCTTATAGAGTTTAATCAAATTCAAAGTTTATAATTTCAAAACTAATAAAAAGAAATTAACTTCAGGTTTATAAAGAAGTCTTACAAAAGCTTAAAAATGTTTGGCAATTTTGTCAAAACGCTTATGTCGTTTTAATAAATTATTAATTAATATAAAAAAAATTACATATATCAACCATGTTTTTATTTATTTGATATAGATTATACATTATACAATGAGATATGCAAATGTGAAGATCTTGATTATTTAGCCGAATGTCTATCAAGTGATTTGGCTCAAAATGAAAAGACATCTAAACTTGTACGTTCAGAAGCATTTTGGAGACGAGCTTTTGAAGATCGTTGGCCACACCTCAACAAGAAAAAGGCAAAATCTAAAACCTGGTTGCAGGTAAAACTAAATAGTAATAATAGTCATATGTTTAAATCAGCATTTGTCGATAACTCCCGAAAGTATTTAATCTTAAAGTTATACAGCTTGTTTCCGAAACAAACATATATTTTTTATGGCCTATCGCATTTTACAACTATTTAACTCTGTGTACAGTATACATAGTTTTTAAATAAATATTTCTTCCAGACTTATATGGAAATGCATGCAGCTGAAACCATAGAGAACTTGAATCCTGATGACTGCACCAGAAAAACCGTAATAAATATTAAATAAATGATTTCCATAATTATATATTTATCTTTTTCATTTGCAGATCGATAATTTACAAAATCTTTGCTCTCAACACGTTAAAGAATTGAATTTGACTCAAATGGTGCCTAATAACGTCGTTGATAATGGTAATATATAAATAATTAATTAAATTAATAAGTAATAAATTTGTACTAATAAGTAATTTGTTATTTACAAACAACTATCATATCTTTCTGATATAAAAATAGTTTTAAATCATATAGCACAGTTTACTGATTTTATTTCAGAGCATATACCAATATCATGTTTACTCGAATGCTTTCCTCATTTAACAAAGTTACACATAACATATAGTGTGAAAGATTTGAGGCGACAGTTTGAATTTGGCTGCTACGATCCAACACTTCTGGACATCAAAGATTTGGCAAATGGTCTTGCTAATTGCACACATCTTAGATCACTTAAGTAAGTTAAATTGGTATATGAAATTATATGAAGATACAAAAAACACTGCAATTTTTCTAAGTCTACATTAAATCATTTTTGTTAGAATATATAGAACAAGACTATGTGGGGGAACTGCTTTTCTTTTTGATTCTTTATTACGATGTGGCTTGGAAGAGTTGTCACTTCCACATTGTTCTTTAGGAGATGAAGGAGCTGCACATGTCGCCAGTTTAGTACAGTCAAACGCTATGCTCAGATATTTGGATCTTTGTGACAATGAAATAGGTACATAACATGGTTAAGAATTTTTTATTTTGTTTGCCAATATGTGGTTATATTAAAACGAATGTATGAATTGGTTAAATTGCACTCACTTCAACAAACAAGTTAATAAATAAACTATTTTTCGATCATATTTGAACATTTTCGACTTCAGCGACATTTAAATGCTTGTAACTCCAACTTGGGAATTGGATTAACATGCTTCAAAACAGAACAAAGGTAAATTCTACGGCACAATACAAGAAACAATACCCATCAGGTCATGGTATAACGAGTTTACTGAATGTCGTTACTCGTCAGGTCATGGTATAACGAGTTAACTGCAATATTCAGACTATGATTTAACCATACATACACTCCGTTTTATATGAGTCGAATTAGGATCAATACCGATTATAGAAGATGAGCGACTAGGGCGGATGCAGAGCACGCCATTCTAGAGTGAAAAAATGGGAAAGAGTAGGCAAGAATTATGGAGGGAGATAGTATGGCTGAAAATCTCCCTCCAAACTAATTTTATAACATTGTTGACAAAACAAAGAATATATGGTGCGTTACATAATTATATACAATCTAATAGTATAAAATTGTAAAGTTAACTTACAAAATGTATATGACAACGTACTTGCATACAAAGTCAAACAATAAATTATAAAAAAACACTTCAACTCGTTCAAGAGTTGAGATAGGGATTTTATTTAAAAATATTTTTAATTACAGATAAATATTAGAATTATTATTGCATATAGGTAATATCGGCGGACAATTACTGGCATCAGCAATCTTTGAAAGTTCTAATGAAGATTCTGAATCAGATGAGTTATCCTTGTTGGGATTGTCGCTGAGGCTAAATCCAATAAAAGACGAAGCTGCCTCTAAAATCTTTAAAGGACTTACATTCAATAAGCAAATTAAGTTGTGAGTAGAAATAATTATTCCAGCTCCAGAAATAAAATTCTGCATTTAAGTTTGTTCAACTCACGCTTATTGAAAATAGCTAAATTGTTGATTAAAGAATTTTTCTACTAATTTGTCGTACTTTACAGTGTTGATTTATCATGCTGTTCTATAACAGCTAAAGTTTTCGAGCAATTTGCGCATTGCTATAAAAACAATGCACATTTGGAAGAAATTAACTTATCAAACAACTATTTAGGAAAGGTAACTAATATAAACACATATATATTTATATATGCAATTAGTTTGTGTGTATGAAGGTATGTATAAGCAATCTTTTTCTGTAATTAAATTTTTTTTTGAAGGAGTTTTCTGAAAAATTTGTTGAAGAGCAATTATCCAATCAACAAATCAGAATTTTAGATCTACGTGTTACTGATTGTGATTCTGAAATTTTGAAAACTGTCGAAAAACAGTTGAATGATAATCGAAAACGTATAGAACACACCTTGTCCATTCGAGCTGGAAAATGGAGACAAAGTGTTATAGAACGACGAAGAAGAACTTAAATGATTAAATAATGAAAGATAATGTAAAGCTACATATATTTGATAATGAAGTGTTCCATACAAATACTTCAGTAAAATTCACATATAATGCTTTTGAGCAGAGCAGGCCCAAATATACAATGTATATGGACATTAAGAAATAAAATAAATAATTTCAAATTTCAACCGCTTTTCAATGAATTTTAAGTGATATTTAAATTCCAATTGCTTAATATCGTTGGATAATTAAATATAAATTATATAGAAGAATTACAAGTTCTGTGTTAAAAACACTAGATCACAAATATGTACAAAATATATTTATTTATTAACTTCCCGTAGGGCAAGTTATAGCAATCGCAAAAAAATCGAAAATGAAAATTTTTATTATCTTTACGTTTCAGAGGTTTCTGAACATTTTGGCATGTGTGTGTGGCGTGTGTGTATGTATGTATGTATGTATGTATGTATGTATGTATGTATGTATGTATGTAAGTATGTACGTGTGTGTATGTATGTGCGGATACAAATTTTCGTCGACGATTTCGGGAACACGGATCAACCGATTTGAATAATTCAAAAAGCATTCGATTCGTATTGATAAGGAGACGTGCTAATTAGTTTTTGGCGAAGGCCGGTCCAGCCGTTCCAAATATACGAGGCAAAAAGTGCCGAAAACGGTAACTCAGTTTTTAAGAGAACGGAGCGTCCGTTTAAGAGAACAGAGAATGTATTAATGTATATATGCACATCAGAATATGCAAGTTCCGACGCGATTATGTCAGCATAATCGCGAATCCGTATAACCGAGGTCCGGATAATCGAGGTTCTACTGTATATATATATATATATATACATACATATATACATATATACATATACATATATATATATATATATATGTATATATATACATACATACATACATACATACATACATGCAAACATATATATACACACATAAATAACTACATATATATGTACTCATACATATATATATACACATATACGCCTACACATATATGCATATACACATATATATATATATATATATATATATATATATATATATATATATATGCAACTTGCATGCTTATTCACAACGACGTACATATACATGTATGAAAAATACATATACTCATATCTATCTATGTAAATATAGCTATACACGTACATTCATATATACATATACACATACATATATATACATACATATATATATATATATAATATATATATATATATACGTACACATATATATACATACATATATACACATACATATATACAAATATATATATATATATATATATATATTTATATATATATATATTTATATATATATATATATATATATATATTTATATATATAATATATTAATTTTTTTTTATAATATATGTATATATATACATACATATATACACATACAAATATACAAATATACATACATATACATACACAATACATGTATACATATATATACATACACCATATATATATATATATATATATATATATATACATATACATACATACGTGCACATACATGCTCACATACACATCGTATATATATGTACACATATACATATATATATATATATATATATATATATATATTAAATTTTTTTTTTATTATGTGTATATATACATACATATATACACATACAAATATACAAATATACATACATATACATACACAATACATGTATACATATATATACATACACCATATATATATATATATATATAATATATATATGTACACATGTCACATAAATATATCTGTAAATAAACATATATATATATATATATATATATACATATATATGTAAACTCGTATATATATAAAGTAAACAAAATAATTATGAAGATGGATAATACATATAAAATAAAAGTAACTTACATTAACGTTGGTAGGTTACATCTAGAGAAGTGTACACGACACTAGAAATTAGCACTAACATTTATACAACTAACTTGTCAACACCATGATTTTTTTATAATTTTTTTGTATGATGTAAACAGAAAAATGATAGTTTTATTTGAACAAAAATGTGAATAAAGTTAAGTAATTTCTGCCAACGACTTCTGTACTGTGCGTGTTCTGAGGCTTATTTGGACGACACACGTGTTTTTAGAGATTTTTGACGGTCATTTTGAAATTGCTGTGAGTGAGTAGGTAAAGAACGGTCGAAGTTAAAGCTGGTAATGTTAGGCTAGGTTTGTATGGAAAGAATTAGTTTTGTTTAGAGACGAAAAAATTTGGAAACATTATTTAGTGTACTAATAACCTAAATAACTAAAATAAAGATTTTTAAGGGTTATTCAAAATTTGTTATGCGTGGGTAGGTAAAGATCGGGTTTCATGGTAGAAGTTGAACTAGTAAAGTTGGCAAGGTTTGTAAGGTCAGAATTAGTTTTGTTCAGAGGAGATAAATTTGGAAACATTATTTAGTATTAATTGGTAGTTATCGCAGAGTAAGGAGGTATCAAATCTTTTGTTTACAGCGTGAGTACTTACTGCTATGAAACAAGATATATATATACACATATACATAGAAACATATAGTACACATATACATATACAAATACAAAAATATATACCTATATATGTACACATATACATGTACGACTATACATATATAAATATACGCATATACATATATGCAACGTGCATGCATATTCACAACGACGTACATGTACATGTATGAAACATACATATACTCATACCTATCTATGTAACTACAGCTATACACGTATACATATACATATACGCATAAACATGTATATATACATATATACATATATATATATATATATATATATACACCTACATATATACATATACACACAATACATATATATATATATATATATATATACATACATATGTACATAAATGCTCACATATATATACATATACATACATACATGTAAATAAATAATATACATATATATACATATATACATACAAATATGTATATATATAAACATACACATATGTAAACTCGTATATATGTAAAGCAAAAAAATATTTATGAAGATGGATAATACATATAAAATATAAGTAACTTACATAAACGTTGGTAGGTTACATCTAGAGCAGGGCTTGTTAAACTTTTTTATATAGCGACCCCCTTCAAGCTTAGGAAATTTTAAACGACCCCCTCCTCCAAATAATAAAATATATATTAACCGTTATCGCACTATTTTACAATGTAAATAAAATAAGGATTGAAGAATATGTTTCCATTCATGTTATATATGATTGGAAACGTTGACATAAAACTATATATATATATATATATATATATATATATATATTTATTTATTTATTTATTCATTCAATAAAAAAAATAAACTTTTGTAACAAATTCTTTAAAAGAAAACATGAAACTATATCTACATATTCAATAGAAAAAATAAAATTTTGTAACATTTTTTTAATGAAAACCTATTATTAACATCAAACAATATTAATGTGATGAATGTGATTGTTCATTTTTACACAAACAATCAAATTTAGGCTTATAATCAAAGTTAGTGCAGATCGTAATAAATTTTCAACGTATATTAAAGTTGAACGGTATTTTGACTTTATGTAAGTTAATGTAGAAGAGGCTGATTCACATAAATATGGTGCACAAATGGCAGTAATTTGTTTATTGCCATTTCTGATAGTAGGAATATTCTGATTTGATTTCAATCCAAAATTCATGCGCAGACACTTGAAAAAATCTGAGTCGCAAGGTAGTATCACTTGTTAATTCGGTAAATTCTTCTAGTGCTTTTAAGTTTGAAAAATTAATTTCTTCCATTTCAATTGAAAATGGATTGCAAATCCATTGTTGTGTATCGATATCATTGAGAAAATACCTATGCATGTAAACTTCCATATTCTTCAAATGATTAACTATAATTTTTGTTATAGGAGTATCTTTTTTAACATATTGTTACTAATTATATACTCGTCAGTAAATGGAAACATTTCGAGCGAGCGATACACTTTCTACTCTGTTTTTCCATATAAGAATTATTTTAACAAAGGCCTCAAATTTATTTTTTACCATAATCATATTAACGCTGACTCCCTGCATAGATAAATTCTTATCATTGATTTTATCAAAAATATTGGCCAAATAGCATAGCTTGAGAAGCCATAAGCCGTGAAAATAGTCGGCCTAATAATACTAATTTTAAAATTTTGTTTATAATTATTGAAAAGTATCAGATCTTTGCGACCCCTTTTCAGTAGTCTCGCGACCCCCCTGGGGGTCGCGACCCCCACTTTGAGTAGCCCTGATCTAGAGAAGTGTACACAACACTAGAGATTGGCACTAACATTTATACAACTAACTTGTCAACACCATGCATTTTTTATAATTTTTAGTATAATGTAAACAGAAAAATGATAGTTTTATTTGAACAAAAATGTAAGTAGAATTATGTAATTTCTGCCACGACTTCTGTACTTTG